CGGCGAGGCGCGCGCGGAGAGGTCTTTGCGGACATTGACCCCCCCCCGGCGACTTCACCGAGCGTTTGGGGGTCTCTCGAGATGTTCTTAGGGCAGCAGCCAAGTTGGTTCTTCGGCGCCTCGAGCGTAAAGGGGCGGACTCCGACGTAGAGCGCACGACGCGGTGCATGGCCTTTCATAGTGCGACGAGGAGAAAGGATTCGGCCGCGTTTCGTCGCGCCCTTCGAGCCGACCCTGCCCTGGAGGCCTCCTGCGATGGCTAATCAGTTTTGCGGCTGGACCTTTTTGGATTTCATCGGTGTCCCGGAGCTTCACAGACGAAACAGTTGGAAGCCCAACTTCTTGAATTGGAAACTGGCCAGGACCTACCTCCCCCTCGGAAGGCGGCCCTTCGCTCCAGGCTGCATGACAACTGCGGCACCCCTCGGGCCTGCGGGGGATCCCGCTTGCTGGCCTTGCTGACCCCTCGGGTGCCAAAGTCACCCATCCGACACAGGTTTGTGATCGTCTGGCTGCCCACTGGGGGGAGGTCCATAGCGCAATGAAGCTCGACACCGAAGCCCTTCTCGAGCTTGCCCCGCATGTTCAAAGGGTGCCAGACCATGTGGAATGGGAACTGCGCTACGAAGAGTTCGTGGAGTGCTTCTCCAGGATCAAGGATTCCACCGCCTGCCCAGATGGGCTGCCGTACTCCAGTTTGGGCTTCGGTCTGGGGAGTGTGGTCTGAGTGCGCTGTATGCGCTGTACCAGCAGCTCTTCGCGGGTGTTTCTCCCGATGGGCTCAACGCTGCCATTGTGGTCTTTCTGGCCAAGGTGTCGGTGCCTGAGGATGTTCTGGGGGTGCTGTTTCGGTCCGAGGAGGCGACCCGCCCGATCTGCCTTTCAGACTCTGCTAACAAACTTGTCTCGATGCGCTGAACAGAACTCTTCGATATATCTGCCAGGTGCGCGCAGTCGATTGGCAGTGGGGGGTCATTCCTAAAAGGCAGGGCGCGCGCAACATCGTCGAATTGGAGGGCAGGGTTCTCTCGCGGCATGCGCTGAGAGGCTTCCAGCCGGCGGGGTTCGACAGTCGCGCCGCCTTCCCCCCCCTCTCCATCATGAGCTCATACACTGGGCGCTTCTGATAATGGGTGTCCCCGCGGGGGTTCGTCGTGCCGCGAAAGCGCTGTATCGTGATATGTTGATTTAGGTGTCTTTGGGCGGGACTGCGGGGGCTAGTTTTCCCGTTCTGAAGGGCATCGAACAGGGATGCCCCCTCGGCGGCAGTATTTCTTCCTTCGCGCTTGACCCTGTCAGCAGGCTTTGCGGGCCTAGGCTCGCCAGGCCGCCGATGTCCACGACGCCCTCGCACTTGCCATTCCCGTCTTCCGAGTTGCTGCGGAGGCAGCACGGGCTCTTCCTCAAAGTGAAGGGGGCCCAGGTCGTCATCCTAAGCTCAGGAGGAGAAAAAACACACAGACACAATTAATCGTCGATTCCAAGAAAATGTTGGAAAATATGGGCAGTGGGGGGGAAGACAGAAACCCAGAAGATATGGCAAAATATGGAGAATCGTTTTATTTGTGTGTATTTATTTGTGTGTCCTGGGGCCCCTTCATAAGCTGCCCTTCGAGGTACGAGTTCGAGGCCAACTTGCATCTTCGCGGCCATTCGCTCGAGTCTTGCATCCTCTGCCCCCGCGGCCTGCATCTCGGCCCGTCTGTTGGGCGCGACGGCGACCGAGTTAGTCGGCCCCCTCCCGGCGCGAAATGCCTCGCTCGGTCTCGAGCGATACGGGCCCTGAATCTCGGACTCGCGCGCAGCATCTCGAGGTTTAATGTGTTTGATGTTTCGACCCTGTTATGTGTTCGGCAGCGAGTTGCCGCGTTTCGGAACTGGGGCCTGCCGCGCATCAGATTTCATGTGCCGCGCCTCGGAACGCCTTCACTTCTGACCTTCTGGGGCCCCTGTCTCTGGTCGGTTTTCCCGTGGAGGTGAGGCGTCTCTTGCAGGACGCCCGCGCTGCCCAGTATAGGCGCGCCGTTTCGTCTCCTGCCTTCTTTCGCATTCGGGATTTGATCGCGTCGGTGGCGGACGACGAAAATTGCATCATAGCCTATCGGCATAATGCGTGGCTTCAGTCTTCGATGTTCTTTCGCATGTCAACCACTTCTGAGGCTTTATCCGCGATCCCTGGGGCCCCAGCCTCTCCCGAGCGCGGGCTTCAGAGGAAGACCACTGCTGCCCTGAAGGCCGGTGATCGCAGTAGGGCGGCCGACGCCCTTGGGAGGCGCATTCGTAAATAGATGCCCTACATAGACAACATGTTGCACTGTCTTGTTTGGTCGATGTCTCGAGTCGCACGGCGCGCCCCTCCGCGCGTGATTGCATCGACCGCGCGCGCACTTGTGAATGGATGGTGCTGCTCCGGGCGTTTCTCTGACCCTATTCAGCCGTGCATCTTTTGCGGGTCTCCGAGAGATGGCCGTCTCGAGCGTTACCTTAAGTGTGATTCGCTGGGCCTCTTCTTTGTCCCTCTTGCCCCTCGTCTCCCCCCTCTTTTGTTTCGCGCCTTGGTCTTGCTCGTCGCTGATTTGTCCCGTTTCTCCCGCCCCCCATCCCTCAACATGTGTCGATTGCCATCTTTTACGATTTGATTTGTTCGAGCTACCGCGCCTGCCGCCATAAGGGCGGTTTTCGGGGTTCCAAGCTGTCACCAACTGCATCGGTTCGATTGGCCCAGCATCTCCGTCGGGCCCCTCCGCTCGGTAGCATTGTGCTCTGAGTCTCGGGAAGTTGCGGGCGTGTCTGGGGGCTGGGGCGCCCCCCCATCGCCCTGGTCGTCGCTGCCGTTCCTGCGCCTTGTGGAAAGGCCCCTGGAGGGGATGCGGATTTGTCCTGCCCCTGGACGGGCTGTCTTCTCGTTCGCTCTCTCGTCCGCTCTTTCCTCTCTTTTGGCAGTGGCGCCCCCCCCCCCCCCCCTTCTGCCCCTCCTCCCCCGCCTCTTCCTCCCACCTATCCCTTCTCGCCCCCCCCCCTCTTCTTTGGTCTTCCTCCTCCTCCTCCTTTTCCTCCTCCTCCTCCTCCTTTTCCTCCTTCTCCCCCTCCTTTTCCTCCTCCGCCTCCTCCTCGTCCTCGTCCTCCTCGTCCTCCTCCTCCTCCTCCGTCGACTGCACTTGCACAGGATCACTTCTACAATGATTTCCTGAGCATACTTGCCTCCTCCTCCTCCTCCTCCTCCGCAGCAGCAGCAGCAATGGATCCCGATCCGCCACACCAAGCCGGCCCAAGGGAACAGACTCGAGCAGTGCCAGGGAGAGACCTTAAACAACGGGAGGGGAGGGAGGACGAAGGAGCAGCGGGAAGCACAACATCGCTGTTTAGGGTGCGGGGCGCGCGCCAACTCGTGCCAAGGAGAAGGGAGGGGGAAAGAGGAGGGATCCGGAAGAACCGGAAGACGGAGGAGGCAGGGCGCGGCCGCGTGGTGTGAGCCACCAGACCACACCGTTAGGCGCGCGTGCGCCACTGCCACAGGCAAGGAGCGGGAAAAACAACAGGGAGGAGAGGGGAAGGAGAGGGGAAAGGCGCGCGGCAACCGCCTCCTTCTCCTCCTCCTCACGGATTGATGACGGGTGGTTTTCAAAATGTGGCTCTCGCCTTAGCGCGGCGCGCATTCGGTTTTAGAAATTTGCAGGAGCTTCAGGGAGTGAGGGCGAGTCGTTTTCAAAATGTGGTTTTCGCTTTAGCGCCGCGCACATTCGTTTTATAAATCTGCAAGAGTTTCACGGATTGGGGGCGGTTCCTTTTCAAAATGTGGTTCTCGCCTTAGAGAGGCGCGCGTTCGTTTTAACATTTGCAAGAGCTTCACGGATTGAAGACGGTTCCTCTTCAAAATGTGGCTCTCGCTTTCGCGCCGCGCACATTCGTTTATACAGTTTTCAAGAGTTCCACGAACTCCCATCATCAACGTACCAGAAATTATGTCTTGGAAGGATTCAGGATTATGCGGGCGCAACGCGTACGTTGATTATTTGTGTTGAGGTCCTAGGAATGGCTTTCTGGCGCGATTCAGGATCGCCAAAGCGCAACACTCCGGTTGATCCGCGGCGTTGGAATCCCGTGACCAATGTTTTGGCACGTTTCAGGGTGTTCAAACGGGTGTCTTCCAACGAGCCAGTTCCATCAATGGAAATGAACCGTTGGGGCCAATGAAGAGGGAGCTTGGAGGGAGGGTTTACTCCACTTTTCCTCCTCCTCCTCCTCCTCTACAATTACACAATATGAAAATACTCTCCCACTTCCCCTGATGGCGTCCCGAAGATATCCGACCCCCCCCGCGTATTGTTTTTTTACGCACAGGATTCCCGGGAAACGGGTTTTCGCTTGCGTTTTTTCCCAAAATGTTGCTCTCGCTGAGGCGCCGGCTTCATTTCTGCTCCCGAATCGTTCCGAATCGTGCTCCCGCTGCAGCGTGGGCCTCATTTTCGGATCGGTGTTTGGCCTCCGTCGTTCAGGATGGCGTTCTCGCCCCAGCGCGGGCCTCTTTCTCGCGCGCCCATCCGCCCGCCACCACCGCGCCGCACCACCACCACCACCACCACCACCACCACCACCACCACCACCACCACCACCACCACCACCACCAGCACCACCCACCACCACCACCACCACCACCACCACCACCCACCACCACCACCACACCACCACCACCACCACCACCACCACCACCACCACCACCACCACACAACCACGCACACACGCACGCACGCACGCACGCGCACCACCACCCACTACGCACGCGCGCGCAGAGCCACAGGTCCGCTACGACACGCGTCCGCGGATAGAGAAAATCAGCGCCATGGTAAGGGATGGGAGGGAGGGGTAGGACGTCAGATATGACGCGAGCGCACCCAGCTTGTCCTCCTCCTCCTCCTCCTCCTCCGCCTCCTCCTTCTCGTCTTCTTCCTCTCCCCCCATACTCCACTCCATCTATCTTTCGCTCCCCCCCTGCGCCCGAGGCCGGGGCCACGCCCGCCGCGCCGCCCCCGCGGGCGCCGCGGTAGCGGCCGCACGCGCGCTGCGCGCGTCGCGCAGGCGGCCGCCGGCGACGGGGCGCCACTTTTCTTCTTTTATCCTCCTCGTCTTCCTCCTCCTCCTCCTCCTCCTCCTCCTCCTCCTCCTCCCTCCTGCTCCACCTCCTCTTCCTCCTCCTCCTCCTTCTCCTCCTCCTCCTCCTCCACCTCCTCCTCTTCCTCCTTCTCCTCCTCCTCGCCCTTCCCTCTTCCTTCTTCCTCCTCCTCCTCCTCCTCCTCCTCCTTCCTCCATCCTTATCCTCCACTTCCTCCAGCCCCCCCTCCCCCCCTTTCCCCCTACTCCTCGTTCCTCTCCTCTTTCTCCTCCCGCACTGCCCTTCCTTATAAATAATTATTTCTTGTCTCACCTGGAGACTGGTCGAAAGAGCGGGCCGGGCGTTTCGTATGAGGCTTCCTTAACAGTTATGACCCTGAAGCTTGAAAATCTGCAGCAGATCCACGGATGGACGGCGGGTGGTTTTCGAAATGTGGCTCTCACCTTAGCCTCGCGCACTCTCCTGTTAAATAGTGTTTATAGCTTAGAGACACGATGGTGCTGTTTTGTGTGGAGAGCCGCCGGAAGCACATGTCGAAATCAAAAGTCTCGGTTCGGATCAAACATCGAAAGTCGAAAAGCTAAAACCGAAATCGCATTTGAAGTTATGCTTATTACACTATTAAGGTTGAATTGAGTTGTATGGTATTGGAGTATGCTGCATACCATCGGGTGTATTGAAATGGTTTCGTATGGCATTGGATAGTATTGCGCTGTGTTGAGGTAGTGCACCAACACGACTGCATGGCATTGAACTTGTACGCACCAATATATGCGCCAGCTTCCATTCCACCGCACTGGCTAAGTTGGGTACCCCTGGCATTGCATTGCAGTGCACGGCTTTCGTTGTCACCAACTCTTGCATTGCATTGCGCTGATTGCACGGTGTTTCCTTTCCCCTGTGGCGCCTCGCTCTACATCTGCCAGCGCAGCTGTCCGGCATCCAGAGTTTGTTCCCCCTTCCCATTGTGTTTCCTTCAATTAGATGGACGATGACATCCTCGCCCTGGCGATGGCCGTCCCCATGGGAGACACGCGGCAGCAGAGATCTGCCAAGGAGCGACGGTTAGAGGCTTTGCAGCGAGGCCGACAGACCAGAATAGATAACATCCGAATCAGACGGACGGCGCTGTCATATCGAGATACTCAACCGATGGCGATCATGTCCTTGTCAGTGCCTGCCAGCGTTGTTCCTGCGGCCTCATAGAGGATGGCATCTCGACCCAAGACAAAACTCAAAGCAATGATGCAGCTTGCGCGTTCGCCGAAAGTTCGCGGCGGAGGCGCTCCCATCGAGAAGGTGCGTCGGTTGCAAGACAAGTCCGTTGCCATCGTGGGCAAAATTTATCTGGAAAGGCAGCTGCGCGGATGGCAGATCTGCATTGCAAGGGCAACGCCAGCAGCCGCAGGAGCGCGCCTCTTCGCGCTTCGTGGGGTTTCAGCCACGTGGGGCGAGGCCTCCCAATCTTCAAGGGCCCTCCTGCGGCGGCAGAGCGCGCAAGACCTCGGCCACTGCCAGAAGGTCGTCAACGCGATGGTCGTCCCCGGCGCCGTTTTCCAAGCGGTCGTGCAGCGGGGTAGCCTCCAGTCGGTCTCGGATGTCAGCCAGCTCATGCAGATCGAGTGGCAAGCATATATGTATATATATACATATATATATATATGTATGTATGTATGTATGCATGTATATGTGTGTATATAGGCTGCTGTTCGAAGGATTGCGCAAATCACTTCCCGACGATTTTGCAGACGTCATGTCGCTGGAGTTGTTGCCGGTGCGCGCCGACGCTTTCATGATCTCTCTCGCGTTGGATTCAGCCTCGTCAAATTCTCGACGCTTCGCGCATCCCCGCCAACCCTGCCAGAAATGCCGCTCAGGCGAGTTGAGGCGATCTGGGCAACGCAGGAGCCAAGAGGGGGGTAACCGTTATCGCCTGAAGGATGCGAGGACGACGACGACGACGACGAGGAGGCGATGGAGAGGGAGAAGGGAGGAGGGGGGAAGAACATATGAATGAGGAGGAGGAGTAGAATGAGGAGGAAGGGGGGAACGAGGAGGGGGGGGGGAGGAGGAAAAGAGGCGAGCAACCGAGCCAGAATCCTCCTGAATACCTTTCGGAATCTCCTCGGGTCGGGCCCATATGGACGTCGGGCCCTCTGGGGGGCAGGGAGGAGACGGGAGGGGGGAGGGGGGGGGGGGCGGCCCGAACGACTCGCACCAGGAGCGAGACGTTCGGGCCCTTTTGGGACGTCGGCCCCCCTGGAGGACGGGCAGGGGGGAAGGGCGAGGAGGGCAAGGAGGAGGGCGAGGAGGGCGGGGGGGGGGGGGGGGGCAAGGAAGGAGGAGAAGGAGGAGGAGGAACCTGATGAGGGCCAGGGGAAGGAGGACGTTCAGGAGGGGGCCGAACGATTCACAACAGGAGGTGAGTCGTTCGGGCCCCTTCGGGATTTCGGGCACCCTCTGGGGGGCGGGAAACGGGGGGGGCGAACGGCCCGCGCGCCATCGGAAGCGAGAGGGCGAGGAAGCAAATCGCATTGATGTCCGCGATGGTTGAAAGGCGTTGGCCTCTTGGGGGCCTCCTTGGGAAACTGTTCGGCCACTTGGGGCCGCCCTGGGGCCGTCTTGGAGCACGTTGGAACAGGTTGGGGGCTATCTCAAGACATCTTGTGCTATCTTGAGCCATTTCGGAAGTCGCATTGGTCTCTCTGGGGCGCCCGTGGAACCATCGTGGGCCACGTTGGTCGTTCAAGCTGCCCCCCGCCCCCCCCCCCCTCCACCCCGCCCTCCGCCCCCGCCCGCCCACCCACCCACCCACGCCCGCGCCCCCCCCCCCCCCACCACCCCGCACACACACACACACACACACACACACACACACACACACACACAACACACACACACACACAACACACACACACACACACACACACACACACTCACAACATACATACACACACACAAAAACAAAACACAAACACAAACACACACACACACACACACACCACCACCACCACCACCACCACCACCACCACCACCACCACCACCACCACCACCACCACCACCATCACAACCACACCCTACGTCGAGGCCCAGAGCGAGGGGTTAAAGGGGGAGGGGCGCGCGCCTCCCCGAATGAGAAGAACGGGATTAGAAGAGACACCTCCCTATACCTTCCATGCCCACATGGCTGGCATGATTTGACAGTCTGCAAGTTTATGTTGAGATGTACCGAACGCGCGGTGCTTGCCGCACAAGATAAAGATCAGCAGGTATTTGATAATTTCTTCGGCTGGCGTAGCTGGCATGCTTGAGCAAAATAGTTGGAAGCGGTAAACATGCTACTTCACTCGCTGCAGCAATCCACGACCACGCCAAGAGAAATTTCGTGATCCGCTATGGGGTGCCCGAGGGGCACAGCCGAGCATTGCGTGCATTAATGGATGTATACGGCATAGACGGCGATGCAGGCTTGATCTTTCAAAGCGCCCGTTCGGCCTCTCGCGGGGCAACTGGATTTCATGGCGACCCGGAAGAACTGCGCGGCAAATCCACGGTCGACATTTCCGCGGGAGCTCGGGTGCATTACGTGCCGCTGGCGACCAGCTCGGCGAACGGGCCCCGGGTCGACTTGGGCGAAGCGGCGCAGCACATCTCGACGCCCCTCATTAAGTGTACCGTTGGGCGAAGGTGGGAAGTAGTTGCCCTCTCGCGATGGACAGGTGTCACGCGGTGCCTGAAGCATGTTTTGATGGGTGTCCATGCCTAACAATGTTGCGCCAACAACTCCACCGGCGCTGTCTTCCAACATGGAAATGACCGAGGCGAAGCTGGGGGCAGAAATGAAGATGCCCATGGACAGCACTGCCGTTGGCGAGGAGGCAAACGCGTTCAACCTCAAGAACATGACCAGGGTGATGAAGGCATCTAAACGAGCAGGTGGCAATAGGTGCATCATTGATCGGACGCGCCCAGATCGAGAAGCTCCATTGGCTCGCGCTCGGCCGCGGCAGAGAGAACAAGCGCAAGGCGAACCTGACCGACATGGTCGACCCGCAGGTGAGCATCATCAGGCAGCCCCAATCACAGCTGCTCCGGTTGCTGCAAATGTAGAACTTGTCAGACGCCAGTCCATGGCGGCTGCTCGCATTCCTAGCTTTGGAGGACCTTCGTGCCGCGGATGTCAGAGCGCTACCGGCCAGTTGCAGTCTGCCCCAGCGCCTGGAGGCCCCATGTGGCAACGACCATCGCGCCAACGCCGAATGCTTGGCTGTTGCCGCTATGGCGCATGCTTGATTCGTGAGCTCACCTGGCGCGGCTGCGCCAGGTGGGCGAACGAACCAGTCGCGAGCCACCGCTGCAACGGCCCTACCCAGGTTCCACATTCCACTTGGCCCTACAAGCTGCAGTGGCTCATATCTCCGAACGTTTCTGACAGAGACAGGGAAGTCGCCATCCAGGAGTTCCTCGATGCGAATGATTGCTGCATCGGCCATGTGGGTCGTACGTTCAGGCGCCGATTCCCGACGGGCCGCGCGCTGCCCCGCCGCAAGGCCGCAGCGACGAGTTTGTTCTGGCAGAGGGAGCTGATGTTCACGACCGCCCCAGCCGAGTGCGAGCACGAGGCGATGGCGGGGGAGATGGCGCCCAGCGCCACAGGGCTGGCGCAGGGGGCCAGTTGTTAGGCGGGCGGTGCGTCGACGCCTCGGAAAAGGCCCACGGAATCAGGGGCGGGCCGTCGCGCTCGCTGCCGCTCCGACGCCCTGCTCCAGAGTCGCAGGCCGCGCTCGGCCAAGAGAGGGGCCTGCCCATCGGCGCCATCGCGGGCCCGCGCGCCGAGCCCCTCCTCCAGCTGGCTGACCGCCCTGCATATGCAGCGGGGGATGGCGACTCGGCCGAGATTGGCGACCAATTCGACGGCGTCGACTTGGAGGAGCT